GTTGCCCAGAGCAGCTGTGGCTGCCCCCTGCCTGGAAGGGTTCAAGGCCAGGTTGGATGGGGCTGGGAGCACCCTGGGCTGGGGGAAGGGGGCCCTGCCCGGGGCAGGGGGATTGGGACTAGGTGATCTTTAAGGTCCCTTCCAACCCAAACCATTCTGTGAAAAGAAGATGTTTGTAGTGAAGTGGGTGAGAACATTTCTATAAATATTGATGGCTTCTGGATCAGGTCAGAACTTTGGTATTAAGCTTCAGCATATTTTGAAGAGTGAAAATTTCTCAGACTAGGAATTTGGAAAGAGGTGGAGAAAATTCCACTTTCTTGTGGAAGGTTTTGTTTTTTTTTTTTCTTAAATGAATTTTTAAGGTACTCTGTGAAATGATCTGGATTAAGCATATTTTAAAATTTGATTTATTATCATGTTCCTGTTCTTTTTCTGTATATGCATTCATGTAATAGAGTGAGCAATGGTTTGTGTTCAAAACCTGTAGCACTAAAAAACCCACAAAATTGTGTTATGGCTTCCCTGAAGCATGAAGTTTCAATTGTTGTCTCTTCTTTTGTCTAAGATGCCTCTTTTGTATAAGATGCCTCTTTTCCTTTCAAGGAAGAGCATGTCATAGGAAAATGGAAAGTTCAGTTCTAAGATCTGTTGAAAGAAAAGTGAGAAGTTTCAGTGCTAGCTCCTGGACAGATTTTAGCAACTTGCTCTGAGATGTAGGAAGTCTTAGCATTCTAGGTATATCTTTACTTTTAGTGCAGATTCATCTTCCAGTCAGAAGAGGCAGTTGTCTTTGGACTGAAACTTACATGGACAGGTTCCTCCATGTCTAAGAAGTTGTTCAGCATGAGTGATTGCAGATAATTTTTAGAGTTTTCACAGATTACATTATGTTTTAAGACATGCAGTACTTAACACTTCTTTATAGCTTACTGTTAACCGAGCCACTGCAGAAACATCATGTTGCTTCAGGGTGGTTCCTACCTCTTGTATAGCTCTTTTTCAAAGTAAACTCTTCCCACATATGGGTGGCTTTTTACATTTTCCGACATTCATAGGACAATAGGATGATACAGGTTGGATTACAAATTCAGGAAGGTCTGCAGTCCAACCTCCTCCAAAAAGTAGGGTCAGCTGTGAAGACAGAGCAGGATACTTACGGCTTTATCAAGTCTAGAAACAGTACAAAACAAGGGGTGTTAAATATACTCTCACTTTTATATTTGAACAGGACACTGCCTTTTTTGAAGATTCCTGAGTTTTTTGTTTCGTTTGGGGTAAGGATATTTGGTTCAGTACCCTCTTCTCAAAGACTATCCTACCAAATTTTCAGTTGTGTCAGGAAAAGTTGTAGAGGTGGTGAAGCCAGCTGATGTCATTTGAATATTCTTCACTGAACAAGCCATGCTTTTGCATTTCTGAAAAGTGTTCTTACTATTATAATGTGCAGAACTGTCTCATGAACCTCTAGTCACACCTTTCCTAGCTATGTCTCATAGCTGGGGACTCAAAATAGGGGAGAGTTTATCAAATCAAAACAAATTAAAACAAAATGCCTCCTCTCCCAGAGTTTGTGTTCTTCCCCTGAAGACCTAAATTGCCCCAGAAGGATTTGTTCAGGAAGGGAGGTAAGCTGTGAATATACATATTTTAATTGTTTTTTTTGCAAATGAGAAGAGTCATTTGAGTGAGAAGATGACTTGTCAGTATATTGAGATACTTTCATATATGTTGTCCACATATGTATTTGCTATATGCTTATGTTATGTGCCCTGAAATCCATAAAAAAAAATGTGGGTATGTGTTTTAGATAAGCAAAGGTGAGCTGGGGATTATGACTAAGGTAGCGCATAGTGTGTTTTGTGCCCTTTGCACCACATGCTTGAGGCACTGAAAAGACAGGACACAGACACAACCTAAAGCATTTTTAGGGCTAAAGGTGTCTCCAGATTTAATATATGATATGTGTGAATATGCTCTGGGTAGCAGTTTTAACAAGTACTGGAAGTTTTTCAATAATTTTTCTTCCTCTGCTTAATAGTTTACTATTATCTTTCTTCACAACAGTTTCAACAATATACATATAACTCATGGTTACTTCAATTTTTGTGCATTTCTCTGAAATGATGCTCCAGGTTTATTTCTGCAGCTAAGAAGGCTGAATCAATTGGGTTATAAAAAAAAATTCGTTGTTCTGTGGCATGTTCTACTCAGTAGCATTACATAACAAAAACATGGTGGTTGTAGATTCTTAAGGTGTGCCTTTTAAGAACATAGGAATGAAATATTACTGCTGCTGTGATCTGTCTGGAAGCATTTCTTTGTATTACCTATGTTCAACATAGGTTCAACCTAAATATTGATGATAGGTTCATCAGCAATACATGGGTGATTTTATCAGGAGTTTTTGACTGTTTTAGTTTCAAGGAAAAAGTGAGCTTCTGCCAACAAATTTAAGTTTGGTCCACCCATGCTGCAAGAGGGCAGAAGCCATATGGCCACAATTAGGGTAGCTGTAAATGAGTAAATAGGTTCTGGTGACAGGCATGTCATATTCACAAAGTTTTGTTTGCCTTCCTAACCACGGTAGCCCAGCTTCCCGTGAGAGTAGTGTGACTGCGTGTGGCTCTGCAGAAACCTGGATAGTGTTACTAATTCTTGGTTTATTGTTAATTTTGACTTTAATTCAATTTTCACTTCAAGTATCAACCACCAATTTGAAACTAAATCTAAGCTGAATAAAGGGCTTTAATTTTTCTTCCAAACAAATTCTGATAATAATATAAATATGGGTAATGATTTAAGTAAAAAAAAAAAACCTCCTGACTGAGCAAAACTAATCACTAATATGGTCAAATACTATGTGCTGAAAGGCATGTTTTTGTTACCTCAGTTTTAGCTAAAGGTTTAAGACATTCACTAGTGTATATGCTTTCTATGGGTCTGCCTCACATGGAGAATTCTCTAAGATTTTTGTCTCTGAAACTTATTAGCTAATTCAATATTACCGACCAATCATTAATAATTCTGAAAGTAGCAGAATATCTTTAAACATAGATGACCTTTGTTTTGTGTTAAAACCTAGTTACGTTTGCATTGTTCAACTTGGTTGTCTCTAAAGGTACTTAAACACAGCTTAAACAGCAACCACTGCTGAGGGCTGTTTTAGAAGATAGCTGTTTTGTATACCTCAGCACTGGGCCACTGCACTTACTATTTCAAAGGCTTTTGGTGTCATAGGTCATAAGAGTTACCAGATATTAATCTGGATAAACTGCCTCAGGTCTACGGCTCAGATTTTTCTGCAGCTGTGCTTTTAAAGATACATGTTTTGTTGGGGTTTTTTTTTTAGCCCCAAGAAGGGATAAGATTTCCTTTTTTGTTATCACTTCATTTTTCTTAGCTCTGGTTTATTTTAATATGCAGTTGTCTACACTGGGTGAGTGTCGTACAACTGGAATACCTTCTACCGAAAAAACAGGGAACAGATCTGTCACTATGAAAGCTAAAGTTGTCATGGTTGAGAGGGGAGTACCCCCAGAAGTTTGCCTGCCTTGATCTCCTTCAGGTGCTTTGAATAAAGGCAACTTCAGCTCCCAGTTGGCTTCTTTAGTTAGAAGTAGTAAGTGGGTTACTTAGTAAGCTATCATATCTGGTCATGGAATTTGGTGCTCTGGCCAGTTAAATGACCCTTCATTTAGGGCAGATTTTTCCAAATAATGCTAAAGTCGAGCTCTGCACTATGTTTCAAAATTATAATGTATTTAGGTTCATAAAACTGAAGGATATTTTTCCTGGAGATCTAGCACAGCAGTACATGTTGGGGATAGCATGCTGTATAAAAAATAAAGTAAGTAATTACTCTGCCAGTGTGTTGCAAACACATTTGAATGTCCTGGATTTCCTACTGCTTCATGAAAATATAGACCATCTGGATTTGGTTTTAGCTTTTGAACTTCTGCCATGACCCTCACAATCACCTAAGCTATTTTTATGCTGTGTGTAATACCATTAGCTATCCAAGCTTACAAGTCTTTTTCTCACAGTAAGCTTGGTAAGTATTCCCATCACGTACATATCTTCTGTTTTAAACATGGATTTGTTATTGGGTTTAGTGTTTTGTATTTAATGGTTTATATTTCAGAAACAGCCTCCTCACTTGAAAACTCTTCCAAGATTTTACCTCAGATTTGTTAATCTTTGACATACACTTGCAGAGGAACTTCAGAGCTCTAGGACTGAAGAACTGTTTGATTAAGCCTTGTTGGACAATATGGCAAACTTTGGGACCTCTTTATTCTAATTTTATAGAAAAATAAAAGCTATTGTGTTATAGTGAGATGGCAGGCCATTTACTGTACCTTTCACCCTCCCTAGCAATCCGTGTGACAAACTTATGCTAAGTCCCAAAAGGGTCGTCTTAATGTATCTCAAATTCATCTGTATACTTTTTTGGTTTTCTTGGGCCAGGGTGTAATGTGAAACTGAACCTGATGTTTCTGATATGTAGCTCAAGGCAACTGTTGCTTAGAAAGCCTATTGCAACCATGCTTTCCAAATAATACGTGTGGATGGGATTACTTTCCTTCATTTTTGGTCTTGTGTGGTATATGACCCAGAGTTGTGTGATGGGGATAAGGATCACATGGACATGCAGGCTCATTCTTTGCTCCATGTACACCTTAACTAGGCTTTATTTTTCTAATGTGTCATGTGACAGAGACAAAGATTACATTGTTACTGTGTTTTGTTTCTCCTGTTTGGTAGTTCATCCAGCAGTGGAAGGGTACAGGTTTTGTATGTAGATGTATTCCTTTCACATTTCAGAAGCATCATGGTCAGAGCTAGAGAACTCTAGTCAGTGCTTAGCAATTAGTATCTCTGCTTAAATTGGATGGTCTTTGTTACTAGAAAATAGTGTTTGCTTAAATATAATGTTAAATATTTTTTAAATTAAGAGTTATTTTGTTTCTAAGGTTTTTTTCTAATTCTCTCCCTAGATGGTAAAAGCAATCCAAGTTCTACGTATCCATCTGCTTGAGCTAGAAAAGGTTAATGAACTTTGCAAAGATTTCTGTAGTCGTTACATTGCCTGCCTGAAGACAAAAATGAACAGTGAAACTCTATTAAGTGGAGAGCCTGGAAGTCCTTATTCACCTGTGCAGTCTCAGGTATGTTTCAAATATAGTCAAGTGTGTTTTTGCTTAGATTTCCTTATGAAATGATAACTACATTTCTATTGCTATTAGTTTGCAGAGTTTCTGCAGTTTCTTTCACTTTCTCAAAATGTGTTATTAAGAGTAGAAAGAGATGTAATTTTTTTTTGTGCACACCTGTGCGCCATTGTCTGATGGACAAATTTGTTGAAATGTGCCAGAACATAGCAACTTTTTTGTCTGTCTTCCTTTTATGAATTTCCCTCAGTTCAGCAAGTGGAGATATTCAGAATATCCTGGATTTGCTGTTTTGTTGAAAGGAGGCTAGGGAACGGAATAAACGAAGGAGAAGGAAAAATATTTCTTGTTAAGAAGGTCTCCTTAGTCTATTCTACTTCATTAAAATATTGAGATGCCTGATACTTTTTACACACACTCTGTATTCTGGAACAATTAGACAATGTCTTATGGATTATAGTTGCAATATTTGAGATGTATGTCATTGCATGTCATCTGGGCTGACTGTGTAGTTATGAACAGTACCCATTCCTATACATGTGAACCTCAGTTTATGTATTGTTGACACTACCTAAATGCAATAACCAATTGCCTTTTTTTGTAGTAAATTGACAACAGTTAATTAACAACAGTTAGTATGTTATGGTTGATGCTTCTGCTGTTAGATGCTGGAAAGCGAGCCCTGCCATCTGAGTACCTACCAGGTACCTAGTCTTAGAGGATGGCCCTTCTCTGGCTTACTAATGTGCTTGATGCTGCATATGCTGAAAAGCCTCAGTGACTTCACTGTCTGGACTCCTTGCTTACATTTTGGTGTCTGGAAGCGTGGAAATGAGAGTCTAAAATCCGACAAAAACAACTTTTAAAAGATGGGGGTTTGTATGTCTGTTACAGTCTTCTGTAGAGACAGGAGGGACTGAGTTTTGCATTTGGTAACAATAGAGATCATTCATACATATTAAGGAATGTGTAAGAGTTTGCATGGTCAGGGCTGAGTAAGAACTATCCTGAGTAGAGTAAAACATATTGGGCATCTTGAATACTTCATACATTATTTTTGAAATTGAAGAAATTAAGGTAATAACTAAAATACTAAAGCTTTGATGCTTGTAATAAGAGAGCATCAAGGGTCCGTTTCATTTGTCCTTTTTTCCATGTGCCTTTGGAAACTGTTTCTCTTAGTATTTATATACCTAGAATAATTTGTCTCCTGAAATTTCTCAAGATAGTTTTACATCTTTTCTAACAGTTGCTTTCATGAGGGTTTTCAAAGGTAATGGTTGGTGATAATGAGAAAGTTAATCTAGGTAATGATGAACCTCTAATGAAGTCTCTTTCTCTTTGAAGTTAATCCTGTGATTAAACTCCAAATGTATTTTTAGAGCCAAAATTACAGAAGTATGCTTTATCTCTATAAAAATAAAATCTAAAAAAAAAAAAAAAAAAAAAGACAAGCAACTAATTGTTTTATTTTTCTAGCAAATTCCAAGTGCCATTGCAGGCACACTCAGTCCCCAAGGGATTATGGTGCCAGCATCAGCATTGCAGCAGGGAAATGTAACTATGGCAACAGTAGCAGGTACGACACAGTAAAGAAAAACTGGCACTTTGCTCTTCGTTTTGGTTTCTTTTATAGTTGTTACAAAAAAGAAATATTTTTTTAAAATGTGTTTTAACTCTAATACTTGGAAAGTTGTTATAATACAGTCAAATGTGTCACTAGTTTCTGAATGTTTGTTTCATATGTGTACCAGGTAGGCATATGTGAGTGGAGGTTCCATATATGTAATATTAAGAGGTCTTTCTGTGCAACAGTACTTTCTGTTAAAAGACATTTCAGAGACTGGGGTGCTTTACTCTTCCTCTCTTTTTTTTTTTTTTTTTTTTTTCCCTTTCAAAAAAATAATTCTGTTTGACAAAAACATGGCATTACCTAAAATATTGTACTTGTTAGCAGTCTCATGCTCATGCTTAATGGAGTTTGGAACCACACCTACAATTCTGTGAAATCTTTGATATCCAATTTCTAATACTTTTGTATGGAAATGACATTTGAACTGAAATACTTTATCTTGCTTTTAAGCAATGTTTTAAAACAAACAAACAAACAGAAAAAAACCCTTGACTACAAATGCAGCTAAGCAATGCAGTATGCTCCTACAGCATATACCTGCAGAGAGGTTATGCCGAGACACAATATGTGCTTTGTGGCTTTGGTGCCTATGGCCCCTTATGCATTCACCAAGATTCTGCCACCTTAGCCGACCCAAACGTCCAGGTGTCACCCAGCTGACTGCCCTAACCACTTGACACACATAGGTGCAGTTTTGGGGTTGTGATACTCATTGGCTGAAGAGTTAGCTCAGTTAAAATGATGAACCATTTTATAGCCTGATAGACATGGCATTTTCCTTTGAAAATAGATTTAGAATGCCTAAAATACAGGGAAACATAATCAAATTTTATACAGATTTTTGTGGATGGAAAAAACTATAATGTAGCATAGAGCACATCTTACATACTTACTAGAAAATAATTGTTGATATATTATCAAAACTGTTTCATTGTCTGCAGTGCCAATGTGGTTTTGTGCTTAAAGAGAATAATATTTGAAGGATTTTTACTTACTTATAATATTTGTTGCTGTTTTGTTTTAAGGGGGGACAGTGTATCAACCAGTCACTGTGGTCACTCCACAAGGTCAAGTGGTGACACAAGCACTGTCGCCTGGGACTATTCGGATCCAGAACTCTCAGGTTTGTTTCCTGGGCTTCACAGAATAGTATTCTGAATTCAGATAAATATCACTGGTTTTAAGAGTTGTGGTTTCAATTTGACACACTGCCAGAATGAGTTCTGTGTACACACACATAGTAACGAATATAAAATTAATGCAAGCACTGCTATAGGAGTTACGGGTTGCATAATGTGCCATAAGGTCTCAGACAGATTTCCCTTGCCACGACAGGTCATCATAGTTTCTACCTGGTAAATATCTTTTTTTACTGTTGGCAGAAAAGTATAGGTACGTGGATTTACAAAAAAAAATTTAAAAATAAAAAGATACCTCACCCCCAAAAACCCCACCAAACCAAACCAAAAACCCTTCTGAATGAAATAGACAGTTTTTCAATTAATAAACCATTTCTAATTATTGAATTAGGTTTATGGCTGGATAGATTACTATATTGCATTATGGTGCCACACTGCTGTTGTCAAATTTGGCTTTGTCATGATGGCAACTGCTAGTACTGAGAAACTGTATGTATTTCAAAATTTATGTAGTTGAGAAGCATTTTGCATAAAACCTTCAAAATACTCAGTTGAGACTATGGGAGGTCCTCACATAGGGTATGATATGATGAGCCCAAAAAGAAAAGGGCTGGCACTCTTTTTTGGGGGCAGCTTTTAAGAATTGGATCTAGAGAGCTCAAAGAAACAACTGAGGGAGAGGAAACATGACTAGACCATCTTCAGTTATGGAAAACCTTACTGGCTTTCTCTTGGAGCAGGAGGTGGTAAATCAAATCTTCCAGGAATCTGGAGTCAATTAAAAATGTGAATGAGGAGCTACCACATCCACAGCATAAAATGTGTTGGTAATCACTAACTCACTGTCTTGTTTTCTTCCTTCTTCTGACCTTCCAACTGAAAAAGTATGCCTAGAGTATGCTTATCTTCTTTTCATTGGCAGCAGCATATATGTAGTTGCCCATATTCTTCCCTAGAATCCATGCAGTTCTGTCCTCAGATACTTTTCAGAAAGAACTGTGTTCTCCTACTCTCCTAGACTGAAGTGTTTTTGAAGAAAAATGCTTTTTACACCTCTGATGAAAAAAATAAAATACTGAGTGGAAAATTATGCCTATAGCCTATAAACAGAAAAAGGACTTGACCTTATATATATATATATATATATATGTATGTATATATATATCTGTGGCTACTCTTCATGTTGCTAGGAATCTCCAAACCCACCTGTGCATAGGTTTGGACCCTGTATTCCTTGTCACCCATAGGAAATCCTTCTTCAAATTCTTCTTTTTCAGTGTTTCAGAATGCTGTGGAGGTAGGGGAAAAGTACTGGGGGAGAGCTATTGAAAGTTCATTATAAAGCCTCCATATACAAGCAGATTATTTAGAATGTAAAACATTATTTTGGAAATAAAAGTATGCTCCAAATGTTTTTTTGTAATTTGATAGCTTAAACCTCGTTTTAAAACTTGTTTCATACAGGACATAGACATAATGACTGGCTTGAAGAAATTGTTCCATATTGTCTGAAAAAAATGATTTAGAAGTATTTCAGTTGTAATTGTCTGAAATATAATGTCATATGCAATTTTTACGCTGTTCCTTCTTATCTCTGCTTAAGCATTTAAGAACATATTCCCTAATGCTCTGATAACTGATGTGCAAATGATCTGATATATTCATAGGAAGTGAAAATGAAAGCAAAAGTAAGAAAGAAATATGAATCTTTGGGAAAATAGTAAGAGTGTTATAAGGTGAATTAAGGGTTCTGCCATATATATCTTCTTGCTCTTTGAGAATTTAGATGCATTAATTTAGCAGGACCTTTAGGATCTTTGTTTGCAACTCTAGCACAATAATTAATTTTACTTTTAAGTCCTTCATTTAAGTCTTAAATCAGTACTGGTTTACAGTTTCCATAGTTGTTAATGTTTGTACATAGTATATTCAGAATTGTGGTTTTCAATTGCTCTTCACAATGTGCAAATGACTACATAGAGTGACGAGGCAATTGAATCCCTAGGGTAGTGTAGATAAGTACAGAGGATCATTAGCCTGAGGTACTACACAGGTGAATTTTATTCTAATTTACAGTAAATCAGCATTTGGCTATTGTTACAAGATCACATACACAGCCTGATAACAGCTGTAATTCTTAAAACAGAAGTTACGTGAAATGTGAAAACTGATATAACATCTTCCCTGGATAAAGACATTTTGGAATGCAATTGTAAGAAAGCTGCTATTTTAAGTCTTCCCTAGAAAATAAAGTAGCTTTTTATAATCAGCATGCCTCAAGCCTGATTTCTTTTAAATCCTACTATAAATTAGTTATTCATACATTGATACAGAATACTGCTATTACTATGTTTAACTGCCTTATTTCTTCTAAAATTATATGTGCAGCTTCAGTTGCAGTTAAACCAAGATCTCGGCATCTTGCATCAAGATGATGGTTCATCAAAAAATAAAAGAGGAGTTCTTCCCAAGCATGCTACAAATGTGATGAGATCTTGGCTTTTTCAGCACATAGGGGTAAGGACTGAACATGATCAGGAGTCACAGGTTTTTATGTAACTCTTTTATGTGGTCTCTTATGATTTTGCTTCATGAAGAAGGTGAATTTATGCTGTTGTCATTTGTGTAATGTCAGTTCAGTTTTCCCTGAAGTCATCTGGAGTAGTTCCACAGTTGAATGTCAGTTGACTTTAATAAGTAAGTTACATTTGTACCTCATGATCTCAATACACATTGTTAAAAGGGATCTTTCTTCATTTCATTGTGTTGAGAGCTTAACGCTCTATATGGTTCATGGCACAAGAGAAAATAGTTCCATCTCTGTTTTGGTTTTTTGTTTGGTTGGTTGTTTTTTTTTTTGTAGAGGAGATTTTAAAATCTTCTGACTTGATCAGCTTTTCTAACAATCCTTCTAATGCGGACCAAGTGCATTACTATCTACTTGTGCTTTCAACAGAATGTCTTTCCTTTGCATAAATACTTACCCTGAGATGGGTCTCAAGTTATATCACAATGTTTAGTTGATTGATATTCTGTCTTTTACAACTATTTCACAGCAGAGAAATGATACAGGGAACCTGTGTGTATGCTTCTTATATTATGTACGCTGTCTTCATCCATTTAGTTCAGAGTAGCTTTATTTAACTAGAAAATGCAAGTCAGTATTCTCATATGACATTGCCTTTAGACAGCATAACTAATCAGATCTTATCACATGCTGTGTTGCCCAGGGATCATGCTGTTTAATAAAGACTGTCAGCCATGAGAAGCTTTTTCTTCTGAATTACACATCAGTAGTTTAATGGTATCACATACACTTTTAAGGATAAAATCAGTTTTGTGTAGTAAAGCACTCTTTGTTAAATGATTTTTATCTATAAAAGTTTGTGAGGTTTCTAAAGTTTGTTTTTTAATGAGTCAGATGGTCTTAATCTAGCAGCTTTAATCAGTTGTAATAAAGGAGTCCTTATTTTTGATGAGGAGATGAAACAAGCTTATGCCTTTTTTGTTTGCTTTTTTGTCCTGTTTAGCATCCATATCCAACAGAGGATGAAAAGAAACAGATTGCAGCACAAACAAATCTGACACTACTCCAGGTTAACAATTGGTAAGAGCAAAAACTCTTACTTAACATCTGTCACTGTTTCCACGTGCTTACAACACAGAGAAATAGTTAAGAGTATAACCTGGACATCTGGAGTTGAACTTGCCGTTTTACATATGTTACAAAATATGTATAAAAATACAAGAATTATGTACTGATACACAAGCGTTTTATTTTTATGGTAAGGTATAATAATACTTGTGACATTTAAATTATTTAAGGACTCCAGAAGCTTTACAACATTAAGGAATTAAATTCTGTTCTATAGCTGAAAGAGATGGGAAGTACTCATATGTCTCTTCTTCAAGTAAAGAAATTGAAGTTTAAAGGCATTTAGTGATCTGAAGCTCAGAAAAGTGTTCTCTGATAATCACGGTTGAAACTGCTCAAGAAGTTACTGTCAACAGATATTCATTCTGCTCTTGTATCAAAGGATGGTATCCTTTGAGCAGTGATGTCCCAATGGCAAGTGTCAGTACCTCAACTCCTCTAGTTCATGCTTCAACATGTTTTAACATGTCTTATCTTCACTAGAGGTTTAAGATAATACACCTGCCCCTGCAGAAGAGAGCAGTGAGGGTGTTGACATGCATCCTATCCTGCTTGTGGTGTTAGTTCCTAAAATTATTGCAGCTAAGTACAACAGGGATCTTCCTCAGATTTCAAAGATGACACTGGCTGCATGGCTGCAGAGGGGTCCAGTGGGGAAACACTCAAGTTAGTGGCAGTATACTGGTTCCAGAAGTGGAACAGTGTAACTATGCTCATGTGGCACAGTAGTAATGAAGCTCTGTGGTGCTGGGATCAGACTAATGTCTCTGCAAAGCATTGCATTACACCATGTGGACCTGCCAGCTGGACCCTGCTTCTTTCCATTACAGGTAAAGATGGGTCCTGGATGTGTTTTGTCAGATTTAGCAAGGGATGCTGTCCTCAGTCACAGCTCCTTGCCACCGCTAGCTAGGTTGATATTGATTCAGTTAACTGCGGGTAGCTAAGTGAGATGTGGTTTAGATATTTTCTTGTTCACTAGCAGAAAGGGGAAGGGCAACAACTAGCATGCAAAATAAACAAGTGAAAATTGGGGAACAAAAAGGAATTGGGAAAGATCTGAAAAATGTGTTTGCTGTTGTCTCCTGGATCAGGAACCGGACCTTGGAAAGCCAAGGATCCTATAAAATAAGTAATGTGGGAGCTTAAGGAAGTAAATGAAACCAGACCAAACAAACTAGGTTAGGCAGGGGCTAGATTTTAGGTGAACCCTAATGAGAGGAGCATCGGCTTTCTGAGCTGTGCTGTCGGCAAGTTTTCTGGTGCTCAGTTTTTAATAAGATCTTGAAATGTACGTCTGTCATGCTGTCTGGAGAATTTCCCCTTCTGAGGTGGGGGGAAAAAAACGCTGCTAGCAAAATGATAGAAGTACTTTCTTAGCTAGTTTGACAAAATCAAATGATGCCAGTAACCTAGGAGCAGTTTTACATATCAAAAAGAATGTCAAGCCAAGCTGGTAGGGAAAATATTTTATATTCCCAATTGTTTTTTTTCCTGCTGCATACTTTGTGAACCTGAGAGAGAAAATTTACAGCCAACTGGCCATAAGTACTTCTTGCCTTTGATTGTGTTTAGGTTTATCAATGCTAGAAGGCGAATTCTTCAGCCAATGCTGGATTCCAGTTGTTCTGAAACTCCAAAAACAAAGAAGAAAACAGCTCAGAACCGACCGGTTCAGAGGTTCTGGCCTGACTCCATTGCCTCAGGAGTTGCTCAGCAGCAATCTAATGAGCTCACGATGTCAGATGGTAAGGAGAACTGGCTAAACCACAGATAATAAAGTTAATTCCTCTGTGATGGGGCAATGAAGGGTTTGATGCTTTGGGGGAGAGGGAGGAAAACTTCTTGATTTTTCTGTACAAATGTGGTTTTGATCTGGAAAAAACACAGAAATGTGTCAATTCTTCCCTCTTCAAAAATGTTCTGTGTTGTGGGGATTATTTTATAGGAATTCAGGTTGAGAAACTGTTGCTTTTGTTTCAAAAATTGTGAACCAAAAGAGCAAAGGTTAGATGTGCAACTAAGTTAACCTGATATGTGTATACAGGCCAGTAGCATTCTGCTTGATTAGCAGTATTGGACTGCAATTTCAGTTTCATGACTCCCCATCCTGTTCGCATTCCTTTCACTATTGCTGGAGGGACTGAGCATCTGCAGTTCTATATATATCTCGTTTCAAGGTGAACATCGAGAAGCAGAAAAATGTAATAGAGCCTCCAGAGACTTTGACTGAATTAACTTCCTTAGCGTTAGATCAAATAAATAGACTTAATTTAAGAAAGGTAAATAACTGCTTTAATCTCAGGACCATCTTTTCTGTCCTGCTGCCTGCTGGTTTCTTGTTTTCCAGTCTGTAGCAACTTTTCCCTCAGCCTCCACTGGTTCTGACAGCAGCTTTATCCATTCAAGTCACCTTGAATCTCTGTGAACATTCCCGTTTATCTGCAAGGAATTGAGCTGGAATACTTTGCAGAAATGGCCTTGTGATGACTTTATTGGAGAATTGCTGTAATGGGTGTCCATAACACAGTCAAGTTTAAGATTCCTGGCCAACTTAATTCTGTCATTTTCTTATATTTAAGTGTTTGACAACCTATGTAGCTTTTATTTTCATTTAAGTTTTCTCCCTGTTGATTACAAACCAACTCTGTTATATATAAATATGTATTACTTAAGATTAGAAACCAAGAAAGATGCTAAAGTGCTATGATTGTGCTTCTCCAGGTGCTGTTGTAACAATTACAGCTCCAGTCAACATGAATGTAGACAGTCTCCAGTCTTTGTCATCTGATGGTGCTACTTTGGCTGTTCAGCAAGTTATGATGGCAGGGCAAAGTGAGGATGAGTCTGTAGACAGCGGTGAAGATGATGGAGGAGATCTCTCAACAACAAATATCAGTGGGCTGGTCTTGGATAACAGCGATTCTCTGCAGTAGGAAGCAAGAGAGTGTGAGAAAATGTTTAGAAAAAAAAATGGACTGACTGACTGTTTTTATAGTTTGCACAGCAAACATTTTACACAAGTTTTATTTCTAATATGTTTTATATGTAGATATAGAAGGGTGCACTTTTTTGTATTTCATAGTAAGCTTAAAGAGTGTTTTTGCAGGTGCAGCAACTTCTTTCAAATGTGTTGTTTTTTCATTTCTTTTTCTTATTTCAGAAAATTATATCTAGTAATATAAAGAACCACATAAGCACCCCTTTGTTCTATGAATTGGAAGAGCTGCAATTTCTAAAGAATTATGCAGTTTCAATTAGTGCTGTTATTTAACACAGCTCTTGATGGGCAGGTGATGTAAATTTAAAGCATGTGACACTAGTGTGTGGAACTTGATCATTAAGTTAGATGCATATATTTGAAAGATGCTTCTGCACCTTAAAAACTGCTAGTCTGAGGTGGACAGCAACACACATAAAAAGAAGATGTTGATGTGTGATTCAGTAGCGAATGTATGGCAATTTAAATAAGTTTAGTTTCTCTCATAGTCTGTGAGCCTGTTTATCATTTGCTATAAAAACTCCTATTTTTACCTTGCCGGGGTTATTGGATAAAAAATATTTTTATAAATTCACTAGGCATTGGGATGACGACTGTATTAAGCAGGAGGGGTAAAAAAAAAAAAAAAAAAGAGAATTTCCAGAGGGGAAAAATAAATGTTTAGTATTCTTATTTGGAAGGTCTGAAAACTGACCAAATTTAATAAACAAGCCTATGCTAGCATTCTATGATTCTCAGCTATCCCACAGTGATATACTATATTTGATAATAGCATAAGGGCCCACTGTTCGATGGGATTTTGATATTGTCAAACATTGATTTATATTATGTGTAAACTAATATTCAAATTACATTAACTCTGTATCTAGACTTGTATCTGAGGATATTTGCTAAATGACTATTCAGGTAAGTAAATTCAAATACCCACAACTTTTCCAGTTATTAGAGAAATTTAACAGTTTATAGTTTGTACAACTGAATCCGAAAAATGAAAAGTTGCCTACTATACAGTCAGGAATTCTGCTATCACTCTGCTATTTTATTGCATTTGCAATATTCTCCCCTAATGCAAAAAGAAATACAACTTACGGATTTATATAAAGTTTCTTTAAATCTAGAGTTCACTACCAGAATATATAGCAGGCTATATTAGAGTAGCAAATCCTTGTGTGTCATTTAAAAACTAAGAGCTAGTGATGAAAACTGTTTTGGTTTGGTTTTTTTTTTTTTTTGTGGTAACAGTTCATTTGGTTTTTTTCCCAAAGTTTAGAGTCTGTGTCTGTCTATCCATGAGCACTTACTTTTGAAACTTTGTAGTTCCTGTTGTTAAGTACAAATAACAGACTCCGAGAGGCTCATGGTATGATCAACATCCTCTTTCCCCCCTGTCCATTTGTCACAATGTTGGGTGAGATCAAAGCCAGAACTTCCTTCTGATTTAGACCAAATTTAGTTGCATTTTTAATGTGACAGGGAAAAAAACATCAGCTTTTGGAATCTTTAGACACTGTATTTGAACAAAGCCCTTTGACATATGCAAATATTTAATTAAATACTTAATTTCTGCTTCATAAAACACTCAGACATGTGCTTAGGTCCCACTGATTTCAGTAGGATTAATGCATGTACTTTTTGACGAACAGTTGGAAGCTGGTCTTTAAAGATTGTTTTCCAAGGCAGGTATAAGTTGGTATGAAGAAAAACTTCAGAAAGAAATGTCAGTAGCATTGGCATACATACATGGAGAATAATACTAGTTTTCACTCACTAGTAGCTGTTTTGAAAAATTGGCACTGGGTTTTACTCAACACAGATGATGTTTCTGCTATGGTTTTTGCTTATTCCTGGATGAGGATCTTGCTTCTTAGTTCAAATGCTGTAATGATCTACTTCAGCTGGAGTGGTAATTTCTAAAGAATTTGTTTTCTTCTGACTTCTCTGTTTTGCCACTAACGTGGCATGTTTGTTAAAAAGCATAGTAAGTGAATAATGAAAGATTTAATTAGGAAGGCTTTGACATGGCATAGCTATCTCGAAGGCTATTGTCGAATCCAGTTTGACCTCAAAACACGTAAAGACAGCTATCATGTACAGATCATGCTTCTTTGGAAACATTCAACCTACTGTTCCTACAAAGGACACCCAAGATTAATAGAACTGAGACAGATTCTGTATTTTTTTAGTTGGTTTTGATTTAACTCCATAAGTGCTTCATCACCCCCACAGTTCCCGTTATAGTAGGTTATATTTGTGTTTTTTGGGGGGTTTTTATTCAGCTACCATTGTTCACATTTAATAGTGAGTTAATCCTTGTACTTCTAGCACGTAGGCAGATTAATTGTCTGCTCCTTCAGTGTGTGCAGACCTATGGACAAATACGTGCTTTTCCAAATCGGCCTGTGTTGGAGGAACAGGCCTTTTCTCGCTATCTCCTTTCCCTTCCTGACCAGTTGATGCTGCCTCAGATATACCAGCAAAGCTTGCCCCAGCCTGATTCAAGGTAGTCTCGGAAGCAGCTCAGCCAGCAGATCTGTTGGGGTAGCAAGTAGCCAGCAGTGAAGGGAAGGGTAAACCAAAGTGGGCAAAACTTCTGTGGTTTGGAGATAATGTGGCAGTGAGCATTTGCCCACACTTCAGAACTAAGAGAATGGAGATCTTAAAAAGAGAAAGGGTATTTAAACAATATATATACACCTGGCTGGAAGAGGGTTCAGGAATAAGTAGTTTATGTGTCACTTGGAACTCAGTTGGAAATAACCTGGCATTGGGGTTTGCAAATTTATGAAAGTTTGTTTTTCATAAAGGAATTGTTAATTGGTTAGATTTTTTATTCCCTTACCTTACCTGCAGCAGGTTTTATTCTTCTGAAACATTTGCAACATTGTCTTCATCTAGTTTATCAATACCTGGAAAGTGAAGTTGACAGAATTTACTGTGAAAGGGGGAATATGGAATAGTTTTCCTGTCAAATTAGAAACCTAAAAACATAGGGTCCTGATTTCCTAAAACTGAAAAGTCTTTACCAATGTAATCAAAGGTATTGCTTATCTTATGGAACTCAACCCTTGTCTTTTAATTCACTGAAAATTCTGTAGTGGGTATGAACTGCACAGAAGTGCTTGTTCTTTTCCCAATTTAAAAACAAAAAAAAAAAAAAAAAAGAAAAAAGTAGCATCCTTTGTGTTTTACCACGTAAGAAAGATTGCTGGTTTCAGCAAAGCATCGCTATTCAGGAAGGTACGTGTTTACATTAGTTAAGAAAGTCTTTATAGGGAACCTAACTTTAAACACATGTGTCATTCTCCCCCACCCCCAATTAAAGTCGAATTCATATGCAACAGAACTAATTTGTTTTTAAAATCAAAGTAATTTTTCTGCAATGATGATTATTGAAACTTTTAATTCTTTTTCAGCCTAATCTAGATCATTAACCCAGAACAGGGTTCTCAGTCCAGTTTTTCCAAGTTTTCTATAACAAGCAAGGCAATTTCCTGTTGTTCTGTAACTTTAGAAACATCGGATTTTAGTAAATCAATTCTAAATTGATCGGGATATATTTTTAAATGTCTGTTACAAAGAAATAGTCATGTTGGAAAACATTTAGAATTGACAAGCATGGCTCTGGCTCTGCAGAGAGTTCCTAGATCTGGATACTGGGTCAAAGTAAAGTCCTGTTGACCTCAAGGAAGCTCCATAAGGCTGCATGTCACACTGCATTTACCTGCAAGATAATTGGTTCCTTATTCTGGTCCCTGATCACTATTAGGAACCTTTTGGAGAGCCCTCTGACTTTATCTTGCTTGCATACCTAGGTTTTCTTCCAGTGGAAACCGGGGTATGGACAGAGGGCTTAGAAGGGCAGCAATTCATGTTGACCTGGTGTGCATCACATGCCATTTTGATGTTCAAAATATGGCCAGAAAGCAGACCTGCACTAAGGAATTAGAGTTCCCAGTTCCTGTGCTTTAAAAGTAGCTTCAGATTTATGGATATTCTAGTGGAGTAGGGCCACAAAGACTTAATGCATGAATAATATATTTGTTTCTGGAAGAATTAGAAGGCAGTTCAGCTTCCTGACTTTATGAACTTGACAGCCCAAAGGATGAAACAAAGCCTTTCCAAGAGGCAATAGTTTCATAAAACCATTAGACTTGTGGCACTTAAAACCAAAACACTCTGGTATTTTGAAAAATTCTAACACATGCATTTAATTGTAATTATGTTGATTTGAGATTTATTTTCTGAAGCTGAGTCATCCTGGGAGAAAAAAAGTATTTGTCTATGCAAGACACAAATGTCAAAAGTATGTGAATTACCCATTTTTAGGTGCTGTATTGTTACTGTCTTTCTGACTTCTGTTACTTTGATCAGTCTTTTAAACCTTTTAGCCTTGTATTCAGCTTAGTTTTTAGAGCTGAAGAGGCAAAATGTAGTTTTAAAATCCTGTTGGAAATGTAACTAACCTGCATTCCCTTATGAAAATCTCGCATGTTAAACAATTAAGTGAAATGTTTTGGTTTCCTAATAATAAATTCAAACTCTCACCACCTCCTAAAAACAGAGCATATCCATGAGAATGCACGTTTAACTGTAGTGTGCAAATGATCATCAGCCTTGTGCTGAATACACTTTGCTTTTTACTGTTCAGTGTAGCTGAACAGCAAAGCGGGTTCGTTTTGCCAAATTCAAACTCAGTGTGGATTCCTTCCACCCCTCCCCCCACACCTCGTCCTTGGCTCACCAAGGTCCTTCAAATAGGTTTTGCATTGTTTAATTTTTAAGTCCTAAAGTAACTTGATCATCCAGTGTAAAGTGTAGTGAAATTGGCACTAATGTGCTTTTAAGTGATCGCCCAAATCTTGTTATTTGTTCGTTCTTGTCATCTGGCAGTATAAAATCTGTTCCTTTTCAGTGACTTAGTTCTTCAGGACCTGTTGAGTGCTCACAGCTGGTTTTGCCAGAGGAAAGCAAGGTGTGAGAAAGCAATGAAATGCCTTACCAACCTTGTAGACTACTATAAAGATACTGACTTCATGTTAATAGAATCCAGTCTTTTCAGGTTGTGACAGAAGTCGCCCATAGATCTTTTTGTGGGTTAGCAACATTTGGTCTATACAACTGACAATCTTTAAAATGTGAACCCTGTAATTTTTTTTTCCTTGGTTGTTAAGGGATTTTGAAGCAACTGACCTATCAAGGGATAAAATTAAAAATCAGAATATGCTTCATGGATGATTTATTTTTACACTACTGTTCTCTGTGAACTGAAAAAGCACATTTTAAGCAAAGCATTTGCATTACTTTAACAGTATTGTTTGGCTGAAAGACAAATATGTTTTCAAGAAGTCTTGAGCATAGTTTCAAACTAGTTAACCAGTTCTTGGCCAGAGACAATTCTTGGCCTTTTAATTTGTTTGGGTTTTCTTGTTTATGCAAATGAAGAAAAATGTTTACTAGTTCTTACCAGTATGGGGATTTTTATTATGCTTTTGTAATGCAGGAGCAGCTTCGATGAAAAAATTAGCAGGTAAATAGTCCATAATGTGTGTGACTTTGGGTTTTTTTTTGTTGTTGTTTCAAAATTGTTAATTAAAATGGCATGGACATCAAACTTTCAATAATGATTCCAAGCATATATAGTAACGGCTTATTTGAAAAGGCTTCCCCTTGTGCAAGTCCCATGTGTTAACTTGCTTAGGCAGATAGATTGTAATGCATTTCTAAAATTACCATGTTCTACTAGATTAGAAATCTTCAGGAAATGAGCAGACTTTTTATTACAAGATAGCAATTCCTCCCTGGCAAGAAACTCAGACTTGTTTCATCCAGTGTGTGTGATCCTTACTCAGCAAAGATGAAGACAGACATGAAGTGCTCTGCAGATAAGATGTACTGCTTACTGCTGAAGCGTTATTTATTCCTGCTCTTGCTTCCCCAGCCTCTGGCACTGTGACATCCAAGTGTGATCCCCAGGCAGTACAGCCCTGAGCGCAGTACGCCTGACTCAAGGGGTTGTGTGTGACTGCTGGCTAGAGCTGGTACAGCCTTGTGATGCTGTGTCAAATTCTGACAGCTCTTTACTTACTGCAGAACATGTCCCCGGGGATTTTAAATCCTGTTTTGTTTTTAAAGGGTTAGTCTGTGATTAACTGAGTAGTATGTGTTCTAGACACAGGAGTATTTAATTACAACATCATATAAGGGTTCGGGTCAGAAGGGACCTTAAAGATCATGAAGTTCCAACCCCCCTGCCATGGGCAGGGACACCTCCCACCAGACCAGGGTGCTCAAAGCCCCGTCCAACCTGGCCTTGAACCCTTCCAGGGAGGGGGCAGCCACAGCTTCTCTGGGCAACCTGTGCCAGTGCCTCAACGCCCTCACAGTGAAGAACTTCTTCCTTATATCTAATCTGAATCATCCCTCTTTCAGTTTAAAGCCGTTAACCCTCATCCTATCACTATGTGCCCTTGTAAAAATGACATTTGGTCATTTCTTTGGCATGAAATGGGTGCCTGAGAATAACTCTCGGTGATGTCATTGAAAATAGTTTTAACTCCATTGCTGGCAGGGAGCAATTTTTTCCTTAATTTGAAAAGAATAAAAACCCAACGAACCAGGAAGAAAAACCCCACAACCTGTACAGCAGATTATTTCACATAAATTATGTGGTGTATTTAAAAAGAACAAAATGACAAACCATCGTTTAGAAGCCCTAGTAAAATTTGAAAGCAATGTGATCATCATAGGTCAGGTTTGGTTTGTCTTCCTGATGCAACTAAGATGTGATCTAGAGCTTATGAAGTAATCAGGGAAAAATCTATGGATATGTATCTTCTCTGTTGGTCTTTGGACTTTTGTGTCACTACTAGCACATGTCAGAAGATTAGGCCCTTGAACCTACTCCTGACCATTATTCCTAACAGAGTTTCTTAAGTTGATCACTGAACCCTAAAGATAAACTGATGCATACACTAAATGTGAATGTGGTAATAAAATTTAATTTAGAGACATTTTTGGTAAGATCCAAGCATTTTTAAAATTTATATTTTTTAATAGTCATGAAAATATGCAGATCATACTTAAACTAGTGATTGACTTGTATGCCATTTTTGCCCCCCCCCCCATAACCTTTCACTATGAGCTACACACTGCAAAGACTGTTCTTAATGTCTCAACATTCATCAGATTGTTTGCTACACATTTCTGCGTAGCTCAGTTTTTATAACCTTATTTGGTCTTTAAGATTTAGACCACTTTCAGCAGAGGCTAGCACACAGAAAAGACAAGGGGAGTTACTTACATGTGCAGTTACATAAGTAAAATCAGTTGCTGCGCAGATACTGATTTTTCTAACGTTGACGAGTATATATGGCACCATGGGTGTGAGATCCAAATTAAGGCCAGGAAGAAGAGAGTATTTCTGTTACTGGTGCCTCACTGTATTTTTATAATGGAACAAGAGGATGATTTATTTTTTTTTAATACACAAAAGTTCTGTGTTACACAGCTGAGTCTGATTAACTTTACCTCAGTACTGTAGCTGGATTGAAACCTGAAAGCTTCTGAAAATTTCAAGAAGCATCATCGAGTGAAACTCAGAATTGCAGAACGCGAGAGATTTTCAGGAACTGGGTTGGCATTTGTTAGATAACACTTGCGCTGCCTTTTCAGCTTTTCAGGTGCTGGGGGGAAAAAGACTCCTGACTCACTTGTAAACGCAGTGACACTTTAAGCAGCTACAGAAATAATAATTTTCCTTTAAGAACCTCAATTTTCCTTTCAAACAACTGTTTTTGTATTCCTGTTCTTTCTTCTTTATCCTCCCTTCCTTTCTTTGAAAGCTGGCAACAATTAATCCTTGATTACATGCCCTAGACTTTTTCTGTGTCTCTTGAGCTTTTGATCTGTGAATAGTGTTGAATAATGGCTTGGCAGATCACTCCAAGATTCAAAGTCAGCTTTGCTGGGAAAAGCCCAACAACTTTACAGAACTAAGTTGTAGATGCTGCTATGCTGCATTCATAAAATGCATGCAGGATTGGAATGGTAACTAAAAATAAGCTATCCTTAGCGTAGATGCACAACGTTTAAAGCTAAATCACTTTAGGCCTAAAACAATTTGTAAGTTATTTTCCTAAATGAATGTGTGTCTTTTTTGTCACATGCTTTTTTATGTTTGTGTTTATGCCTAAGACCTTTTACTGGAGCAGAAATTCGTATTTTAATACTCTGCATCACAAAATATGCATGTCTTAGGGAAACATGCAAAATCCCTCCCTATTAAAGCATGCAAATCCTTAATTTAAAGAAATTACACTTAATAAATGGTCAGAAAAATCCATTTGTTTTAAATTTCAGAAGCAAAATATATATTGCATCAAGTGTGCTTATATTGAGTTTGCCCTGAAACTCCTGACAGGTAAATCTCTCTTCTTACACAGCCACTTGCTTTCTGTTCTGCAATTCTGACTAAGATAACCCAAGTGTCAGCTCCTCTGCTTTTTTCAGGAGAGATCTGTTTTAAATGCCAAACGTACCATTTTGGCCCCCATCTACTCACCCACCTAGAAGAAGGAAAGGCTGTTATTTGTAATGCAGAGAATATCTAACAACTGGGACTTCTCTTAGTAGCATACAATATTGTTTGCAGTTTCTTCTGAAATACCTCCATGATTTTTCACTGTGATACTGAACCAAAGGGATAGGGGAATGAGTCATGTTTAAAAAAATCTGCTTCAGCTTAATGTCCTGGTGTAGGTCAACTTCATAATATTTTTATTTTTATGTTGACTCCATCACATTTTCATATGCAAGTTTAATTTTCATCCTTGTGCCGCTTGCCGATTAGTACGTTGCACCACTGGCATGCCAGCAGGCATGTCAGGGCAACTCTGTGAGCTTAAAATTCCCCGTAAGGAACACATTCAAAAGGTAGTGTCAGATGTTAGCTCTCTCCCTGCCCCTACATTTTAAAGAGAAAGTATTTCAAGGAGGAAGTGATGTAATCAGTCCATTACCAACACTGGGTGGGTATGGTTTAGTAAAATTAGGGGATCCTCTAGGAAACCTCTGTCATGTTCTCATCCTAATCAGGAACCACAAGTGCAGAACCTCCCACAGGTTCAGGATTTTTGATACTTTAAGACATAATACCTAGACAAAGTGACAGGCAGCCATGCCCTTACATGTGAGCTTCGCAGGCGCAGGCTGGGGGAGCAGAGCAGCGGCAATGCTAAAGTGGTTTGCTGAACCACCCCCAAGGAAATCACTGCTTCTGGCAGGGTGTCAGGAAAGGTAGAAGGATTTGGGCAAATACTTCTTGGCACTGGGTAGAATCATGCCAAAAGGACACCTTCTAATGGGCTTTCACTCATAAATATTTTACCCTAGTATTTTACAGCCTCACGAGGCAGGAACTGAGAGGGCATGTTAAAAGGGCTGATGCCCAAAATATGGTTCTGTTTAAATCAATGATTAAATCATTAGTACAGTGAAAAAAGGCCCTGTCAGTTCCACAAATAACTAAGCAGCAGTAATGATCCTTCACAAAATTATGGGACACCAAAGAACACCGACAACCCCCCAAACTTGATTGCACTATATGTAAAATGAATTCTTTTTAGGAGTTGCAAATTCCAGCTTTTGACTCAGTTTTTCAAGGCTAGTTTAGGGAGGCACCAGAGTTTGTATGCTGCTTTGTACTGAAACATGTACAGCTCCTTACTTGCAAATACGTGCCTGGCTGTGATGCAAAATCACAGTGACTGTGCGAGCGGGTAGCCACAAAACTACACCGATGTCCAAACCACAGGGAAAATCTGAGATGGAAAAATATAAATAACAATACCAGCAATACTCTGTCTATAATGTAGACAAGCACACAGGTGATTAATATTGGAGAATCCAGGACAAGACCCATTCAAATAAAGCATGCCAAAACCCAAGACGTTAAGCATAAGTGAATAAATTCTAAAAACTGAATGCTGTGTCATCTTTGAACGGGGTCTTTGTTTTCTTTTCTCCCTGTGCTGGTGCAGCTGTTCATGGAAAAAGTAACATCACGCAGTTACTTCTTTCAATGTCATGAAATGTAGACAGAGATCCTGTGAGACTTCAGGCAGAGGCTGGAGGGGCAAGCTATTCTTAAATCTGCAGTGGTGGCAGAGCAAAGAAACTGTTCACCGTGGGGCAGCTTGCAACGGAGCCGGTGGGGAACTTTTTGCAGAGATGTTTGACAAATAACTCTTCATTGTTCCTATGCTGACCCTGTAAGAAGAGCATTCACACAAAACCAGTATTACTCAGGGATTGCTGTCAGTTGGTCATTCTCTCTCGTTCAAAGGTTATCAGTCACACAAGGGGGGGAAGTGGTGTAACAGATAAGATGGGTGACAAAGAATAAACAGCCTCAGCTGACCACCACCCTCCCCAGGCGACAAGGAGTCTGTCCAAATCACTCGTGGCTCCCTCCAAACAATCACTAGGCTCGCACACTGATTTCCTTAAATGCTTGGCAAACACAAATGAGAGGTGACCCCATGGGCTGAAGTACTCACACCTTGCAAGCGTATACAGGGTGTGAATTCGTTCAGCAGTTTGTAAATGCTTGCGCAGCATGGAATTAAAAACCTTGGTAACGGGGGGAGTTTCTTGCGCTGCTGGCTTCAACGGCAGCACGGGACGGTCTGGTGTCTGGTCTGTAAGGTGACAGCGTAAAGCTCACCTTATTAAAAACGAAGAGGTTTTTCCCACCAAATGCAGAAGAGCGGAGGGGGAAGGGATGCCAGGTAAAACCCCCTTCGCTGTGACAGAAACATCCCCCGGGAGCAGGGCAGTGACGGTGTGAGGGCAGGGGCTCAGCTTGTGCTGGCGCTGGGGTGTCCGGCCAGACCCAGGGCACGCTGAGGTGCGGGCACCCCCGCTGCCCGGGGAGGGGGCCTGCTGCCCCCCTCCCCACGGCCCAGCTGCAGTGAAATCCGTGCTGGAAGAGGTGCGCGTTCACCCTCGCACGCTCAGCGTTAGCTTACGTCCAGGGTCGCCGTCTACTTTTTCTAGTAACAGCTACCTCAGGAAACCAGGGGGAAGTAAGAGGTGTCGTTTCCTAACCTTGTTAGCGGTCACCAGGGACGAGTTTCACAACTCCGAACCGCAAAGCAAGCGCTGCAGAAATTTCTGACTGCCCCAAGATGACTCGAATGGAGGCGACCTCCTGTAGTTTTCCACGTCGAGCGGCGGGAGCGCGTGGTGGCTTTTGCGAGGCCACATCACATCCCGGTTTGTGGCGAGCGCTCTTCCTTACCCAGACCAGCCCTCGGGTTCGCTGCGGTTTTCTGCAAATCACACACGGGCGGGAGGCGAAGCTGCCGGGCGCATCGGCTCTGCGGGGTGGGTGATGGCCACAGGCGTCGTCCCGCCAGCAGGGATGGGTCGGGGAGCTTGCCAGGCATGGGACGGGCCCCTGAGGGGACTGGTAAAGGCGTCCTTCTCCTCTCCTGCTCCCTTGCTTCCCCGTTCCTGCGGGACGGGGGCAAGGAGGCATCCCGGCTGCCCTGGCTCCACACAAAACACATCCCGTTCTGTCCCCAGCACATCCCCCTTCATCCACTCTCCAACTGCCCCGTGCAAGGCCCCAAACTAGCGTGGCCCACTTAGCTCCCGAGAGCCCTCCAGCATTGGGAAAAGTCCGTGTTGGGGGTCCCAGCCGAGGGCCGTCGGTGGGGCGGCCGCGCCGAGGGGGACAGTGCGGTCACTGGGATGCCCTTATTCCCCGGGCTCAGCTTTGAGGTGCAGTGGCTTTTCAGACGTGCAGAGCTCCCACGTCTCTGGCCGGGGCTCACCAGAGCCCTGGACACGGTCAGCCTCTGACAGCCCCAGTCTTGAAAAGCAAATTCGCCTCCTTCCTCCAATCTTTCTCTAACCCTTCAACCGAATCTCATGCGCTCGCTGTTTTTCTGCAGTTGAATGGCATCCAACAGAGCAGTAGAGAGGAATATGAAAAGAAGCCAGCGGGCACGTTTAATGTTTCCAGGTACACCCAAGGCCAAGGTGGCTTGCCTGGCCCAAGGTTTGCTTGGCCCAAGTAACACCAATTCATGGCATGAGGAAAGAATATGTGTGCTTATCAGTACAGTTTTCAAAAGTTTATTGGTAGAACTGATTTTATTCAACACCTTGAAGGAACACAAATAACACTTATTAATGTCTCAGTCTGATGAACCTGTGTTGTTTATTGCAATCTCCCTGTACATATACATGTGTGTATATATCTATATATGTCAAAGCATTCAGAAGATGCAGTTCTGCCATATCCTGTGTCTCCAGCAGTGGTAAGGGGAGAGCAAGAGTGAGGAGAACAGTCACTGACACACAATTTGGGGTATTCCTGCCAAACTGGGACAGAGCAGACACTAACAACAGGGTCAGCCCTGGGTAAATGATTCATCGAGGTGGCTGTGAAGGATCGACCCTTGACTGCCAACATCCTTACGTGAGTCTCCAAGGCTTTGCTCCAGAGGATGGAGGCATGAGGATTTGCCTCCTCCTAAGAACACAGCCATGGGCTAACCCTCCTACCTCCTCCTACCACAAAAGAAGCCTGGAGAGGGGGATGTCAGCCAATCTTCTGATTTTGGTCCTACCACTTTGAACTTGTTGGAATTACAGGAAGGGAAAACCTGGCTCCTGGGAGGCAGTTTATCCAGCAAGTTATATAAACAGACTATATAAATGTAAACACATACAAAAGCCAAATCATCTTAGAAATAAATAAATAACTGCATTGTTTCAGTTACATGCTAGCAGCGATCTAATCTCTCACAGCCCACCGCCATGGAACAAACCTTACAACAAAGAAAGCTCACCCGCTACAGACGCTTTGCCCTGGCATATAAATGACATACAGCGTGGCATCTCTCCAGCGCTCTGTGGAATGGCCAGAGTCCTCTAGGACAGTTGGAAACACTTCACGCTCTTCAGAGAGGATGCCCCACGGTGCAGAAAGCCTTCTGCTGCCAGAAGGGCTCCCCTGTCCCCCTGCCCTCAAGCCGGCAGAGGGGAGGGGTTCACTCCTTGCTCTCACCGCTGCTGCACTGCAGCTGGCCCCCCTGGGGGGGGCAGGTGCAAATCCGGGCATCCCGGGTGGTGATGATGGTGCCAGCGGGCACCGCCATCTCCTCCTCGTCGTAGCAGACGCAGCGGGGGCAGCCGTCGGCCACGGGGCTGCCCACAGCCTGGCAGGTGGGGGGCAGGCGGGGGCACAGCGGAGTGCAGGTGATGTCCCCCCCAGGGTGGCAAGTGCACAGCTTGCGGGCAAAGTCGATGTAGAAGGAGCGGCCGGCGGGGACGTGGCCGCTGGCGAAGCCTTGCATTTCGCAGTCGGTCTCCAGGTAGGGGGGGCAGGGGCAGGGTGGGGGGCAGGGGGGGCAGCAGCCCCCAGTGGTATCAGCGGCTGGCCCCTCCACGTCCCTCTCGGAGCACGGGGAGCAGGCGCTGGGGTCGCACGTGGGTTTCGGGGCAGCACTGCAGAGCAGGAGGCAGGTGAGCAACAGGCAAAGGGCGCCGGCGAGAGCCATGCTTCTGGGGAGAAAAAGGGGGAGAAAAAGGAGGAGATAAGTGCAGGCATCATGCTGGGCATAGGCACACAAAACGCCCAAGGTCTCGACCCCCCCTCCCCCAGAGGTTTAAAGCGAGTGGGATGCAGCCGCCTCTCCCCAACGGGCCTGTTAGCCATAGTTTTGGTCATCTGCAGCTTGCTGGGACCTGGATGGTTTGCTCTAAATCATAAAGTCTTGTGCCCAAAAGCCCATCCTGGCCCAACCAAGGTGTCCTCTACCCGCCAGCTGTTCAGACAGCTGCAGTGTGGGCACTGGGTTAGCAAAGTCCATGTTGCAGCACACACCGAGCTTTGGCATAGTTGCCCTGGCCAGCAAATAGCACTTGTTCACCCCTTTATTAATACTAAGAATTTACATTTTTAGTGACTAATTGTTCCTGGGACGCATTTGGGCACGGGACATGTGAAGGGCTCAAAGAAGCCCTGTCTGCTTTGGTGCAGGGTTACTGCACCTGAGGCTACTACAGCAGTTGGGGCCCTGTGTCTCCTCGGACTAGGACTAGGCACCAGCCCCTCGCCACCCGGCAGCTCACTGCCTGCCTTTTCCAGCTACCTCACTCCCTCACAGGACGCCAAGGGGGTCACCCCATCCTTGTTTCAATTTGTGAAGCCTTTGCTTCATAAGGCAGAATGTTTCCGATGTCGGCCACTCCTGTGTGACTCTGCTCTTTGCCTTCTTCAGCCTCACGGCCAGCCCGTTTCCAAGCGAAGAGCTGTTCACAGGCAGGAAATCCCCTCCCTGTGCCTGCTCCCACCTCCTCCACTTACACCTCCCAGGACACACGGCACCTCCTGGCAGCTCATGCTGACTCCCTTCTCTGTCTTAAGGCTGAGGACCCTTTTTTCAGACTGCCAGCTTTTCAAGACCCAACATTTCCTTAAGTGCAGCCTGCACTTTTGGATCCCTTCCCCCTGTCTGAGCAGCCTTACATCCTGCAGTATTAAATACGCTTGCTCTGCTCCTGCACTGTGTCCTTCCAGGCTGGGCCTCTTCTCCAGTTGCCTCAATGCCACCTTTAATTACAATTATATCATTACCTTCATGCTGGGCATTTGATAGCCCAAATTTTCTACCCTTGCAGGCATGCAGCAGCTTGCAATTACTTCTTAACATTTCTTCATGTAACTTATGTTGTAAATTACTGTTCTGCCCCCTCGTTTCATTCACACATTTTAATCTACCGGTTACTTCCCCATTGCTCCCAGCGGTCTGATGGCTGCGCTGAGCAGCAGGGAGCCCAGACCCACTCCCCACGGAAAGCGAGGATCTCCCTCCCACTGTCCCATGCCGAGAGCTCCCTCCAGGCTGCCCCAGCTTCAGCCTCCCAGTTCCCCTGGGTTTCACCCGCAGACAGAGCAGGGCACCGTTGTCAGACACCATTAGGTCCAAGGTTTTGCACACCCAAACCTCGGTCCAACCCTGGCAGCTCCGTTCACCGCCGAAACCTCTGACCCCACCTAGCAATGAAATCGGGCTGCTTGGACAGAGCTGATTTCCAGCAAAACCACAACATGGAGTTTGTCACGGGGCAGCTGCAGCGGGAACAGCCTCCCGCTCGTGCCAGGCCACTTTTGCTAGGGAAAGGTTCATCCTCCCCCCTTAGTTTTGGAAAACCAGGCTGCGGGCTGGCCAAGGTGCTCCCCTCCTGCCCCACTCCAAGTCCCCGTGGGTCCCGGCTGTGGCCGTGGCGCGTGGCACCGATTACCTGCAGGGTGGCCGGGCAGGCGGGACGGGCGCTGGGGTGCGGTGAGGGACCCCGAGTGGCGTCTCCGGTCTTCACCCCACAGCCTGCCCCGGCCCTCTATTTATCTGCCATGGGTGGTGGCTCCACCAAGAAACACTGGTGGGGGGAGACTGGAGGGTAGGCGGGGAAGTCTCCCTAACACAAAAGGTGGCTGGGCAGGGCCAGCAAGATGCTTATCTTGCTAGTGGTGTTGGTTTAGTCCTTCTGACAGCAGACTAATCCAGCATTCCCCAGCCATCTGCAGGTCTGTCATCTCTCCCCACGCCTCTCTTTGCAGACTTCAGACAGCGTTTCTGAAGCATCGGCATCCCCTTGCGCTTCACAGACTGCCACGGACACAGATGCCGGTGTCCAGAGAGAAAGCAAAACGATTTAAAAGCTCTAGCGAGACAGCATGGGTGGAGGGCAGCCAGCTCTAGGGTGATGCACCCCACAACACTCCCCCTGAGGAGCTGCAGGTGGGCACGGACATTCTCGGAGCACACGTTTTATCCTCCACTCAGTTTTCTGGGGCAGGGCAGCCCTCCCACACCACATACTTGACACACACCATTTAAACTGCTTTAGGCCCTGTGTAGCTGTTTTCCTCTGGATTAAGCTGCAGGGAGCCAAGGCTGTGTACCTCTGCGGAGGAGGCATGCATGAGTTTTACGTGTGGACATAACCCATGTGCTCTGACCGGTGTGGGCACCCCGAGCAACCCCCGGGGCCACTTGCTCCCTGGTGTAAAAATGTCTTAGCCTGATGTATAATGAGATTGTTGGAAATGTGCGCCCCCCCCCCCCCAACCTTGCAGTGCAATGGTATGAAAAGCAGAGACACCTTGCAGCAGATGGGACTGTGGAGAGAAGAGAGAGTTTTGGGAGCACCCCCCGCCTCCATGCACACACGCACGCACCCCTTGGAGCAGGAGGTGTTGGGAGAAGAGGATGGGCTGGTGCTGCAGGGCCAGGATCCATCTCCCTCACTGGAGGTGGGTGTCGCGGTCAGGGCAGCGGGACAGGACGCTGCTCGGCCCTTGCCCTCCTCCCACCACCCTCTCACGTCTTAAGCCTGAAAATCCCCATTCCTCTGGTAGATATCTGGGACCCCCACTCCCTGCGGAGCCCGAGAACACTGAGCTGCGCTGAGTTGGGCGGCTGCCTCTTGCTGGACACGTAAAATACTGATAGAGCCTCTGTGGTGAGGGAAGGGAAGCGAACTCGAAAGACCAGTTGTCTGGAAGAGGTTGTCACTGTCGGAGGGCAGCCCTGGGGACGTGGGGGTGGCGGGTGAACCACTCAGCTCTTGGTCCTGCTGCTGCCACCGATGCTGTGTGTGCGCGCCCGTGTTTACAGGTCTGGCGGGGATTTCTGCAGATAAGGCAAACGAAACCTCCACCCCTACTTCCCGAGGCCTTTTCCACCCCAGAGACTCAGTGGGCGGGATAGCAGCAGCCGGTCCCTCTCACCTCCCCATATGCCCAACCCAGCACCCCGGGGTGCTGGCGGGGCAGAGCTCTGCCCTGGGCATGTGCTGAGGAGCACATTTGCATCCTCAGGGTCACTGTCTGTGGCAAACGACAGCAGATGCAATGCCAACACCCCTGGCCGGGGCAATGCCGGGGGCTCTGGGAGACCCTCGGTCAGGCTGGCTCCAACCCAGGTGGAGAAATCCCAAATTGTCTGGAGCTTGCACCCAACTTTATTAGCTCCCACACTCATAGTTCACCTACAGAAGCCACTGTAGATGTTTGAGGTTGATATTCAGCGGTTACTTCACCCTCAGCTGAAGCGTCTGCAGCTGGCAGCCACTGCCCAGCAGCGCTGCTGCTGGGAGCACTGGGTTTGGGCTGAGCCGTAGGGGCCGTGCGGACTGAGAGGAGCTTCAGGGCAGCAGTAGGAGTCTGGGCAGCCGTTACGTGCTGTTAGCCCGTCGTCGGGTTGGTTATTTTATCAGAGCTGCCACGTTTTGCATGCCCAGGTGAGCGCACAGCCCCGCACGCGGCGTGCTCAGCAGCCTGCCCTGCGAGCATTCTGGTCAGGCGTGCCAAAGGACGTACTCATTGCTGTTCAGACTCCCAGTAATGCAAACCTCTTTTGCATGAACATACGCCGTTTCTGAGAGGACAACCCATTAGCATGGTTTGTCCCGCGCAGCTCTGGGCACTGCTACGGCAAAAGGAGAGCTCTCTTGAGCTCCTGTTTGCACACACACGCAGAAGCAGCCTGGAGCTCTCATTCCTGCTGCAAAGTTCTTGGGTGCAACCCAGGCATCCTAAAGCTTCCCCAACCCCCTGGGATGGGGCTTATTTCCATGTGCACTTAGAGGGGCTCTCTCTGGGGCAGGGTGGCAGCAGTCTCCAGGCACGGGCCGGTCACCCCTTTGAAGGTGCCCATGGCTCTGGAGCAGCACAGGGAACTCATGAGCTGCCTTTGGGCCAAAAGGCGTCCCACTGGGGTACTCGCATCAGAGGAGCGGGATCTGGGGGTTGGAGGGGTGGGTCGCTGTCGAGTGGAGGCAAATCTCTGCTCCTTCTCTTGCAGCCAGGTCTGCTGCACAGGAGGATGTGCTGCATTTGGGGGCATCAGGAAGGGTCTGGTGTGACCCAGGCTTCAAAGGTGTCCAGATTCAGACTCAATTCCGGGGCTCATGGAGTTATGGGGCACTTTAAGACTTACTCATTTGAGTTTGGAATACATGCAGGGGCTAATACCCTTCAGTTTGCAACAGAGTTGCTAAAATAAATACAATACAATAAGGTTGAGCTAACCAGCTTTTACTTTTTCTGGACAAATATGGTTATTACTCAAGCAAAAACTTGCAGAAGATCTGATATAGCTGGTGTCACTCAGGAAACAAAAGACAGCAGAGACACTCATCCTAAATATAAATACTTCATCATTCTATAATTTAATAAAAGTCTCATACAAGCTAGATTAGATTGAAAGTATGGACTAGCCATTTAGCAGCAAGCCAGAATCAAAACTGGTTGTTGATCTTGTGGAGCAGCTCCCAAGGCTTACAGAAAGATTGCAAAGCTCTTAGTGTCTTTTGAGACCAACTCCCCCACGCCAGGTTTCAATGGCACTTCGGTTTGTTCCCACAGCCCTCCTCTCACATTTGCTTTCATCTATGTTATTTGCAGCCATGGCAAATGGCTCTTCTGACTTTCATTATCAGTTCCTGGAACACAATACTCTGACAGCAAAATTAAGATCGACTTTTCCTTCCCCTCTACCCCTTGATAACGAGCTCTCGGGATGCATATTCATGAGATGACTGTCACAGGACACAGGGGTGAAACCGCAGCCCCTCTCCCAGTTACTGTATCGTGAGAATGAGTCTTTACCTCTTGAAGGGGTTCGGTCCACTGCCCCCCTCCCACGGGACAGTGGGCGAGACGCCCGGTGCCACCAGCTCCCCGACAGGTGAGGAAGGTGCTTTCCAAAGGCCGGCTGCCGCTACAGGACTGCTGGTTCCTCCTCACCTGCCCAGCACCCCGTCCCCACTGCCCGTCACAGCCCTCGGCTGTCCCTTCCCATCCCTCCTGCCCAGCTCCCCTCGGTACCGGGGTGCCGTGTCCCACCCGCTCCCCTCCTCAGCGTTCCTCCGGGGCTTGGCCTCTCCCACTCGCCCCCAGGGAGGGGAGGAAGGAGCTGCCTCCTTGGTCCCCCCAGATGGAGCCGGGGGGTGAGAACGAAGGTCTCTGGGGGTTGCCCACAGCCCTCCCTGCGAGGGGTGGAGAGGAGCGGGAGGGGGCAGCCATGACCTGGCCTGTCCCCAGCCCTCAGGAAGGCTGGAGCTCGTCATGGCAGGGACAGGCTCCAGCCCTGGTGGGACCGGGGCAGCTTGCAGCAGCTACAACACCGGCAGTGCAAGGTGGCTGTGGCTGGCAAACACACCAAACCCCACCGCTGCTAAAATCTGGGCAACAGCAACCACCCCCCTTCCCATACCACCCCCCACCACCCCCCCCTCCCCGTTACCTCTCCAGCCCTGGGTCGCTGCAGGTAACCACACACAGCTATTAAACGCAATTTCTTTAGTTATCTTCTCTTTAGTGATATTCTGGGTGGCATTTGGCGGACAAATGGTTATTACATTACAATTTTCACCTAGTCATTTTGGGAAACTATCATCAGCCGGGTTAGGCCAGCGGGCGCCCTGGCCGGGTGGCTCAGGCTCGGGGGGCAGAGCTGGCCCCGCCGGCGGGGCAGACGTGGGGCAGCCACACTGCTCTGCTACTTCTTGTCGTTTCTGCCGACAAAGGTGAGGAGGTCCACCGCTGTGACCACACCAAACACCATCTGCTTCATGAAGGAACTGCCATTTCCATTGACTGTAAGCACAGAAAATGCCAGTTTGGCAGGGGAAAAACAAGAAAAAAAAAAAAAAAAAAAAAACAACAAACAAACAAAAACCTCCATAGCAAAAAATGATTAAAAATAAAACCCCACAGCTGTGCAGAGGCTGCTATTTATTTATTAACAGAAAACCTTAACGGGGACAGCAGCTGTCTTTGCTCTGCCTCAACAGAAATGAGCAATGCAGCCTCAGTCGGGTTACTGGGATCACGTCAGGGAGGTTTTAGCTGCAAATAACGCACTCTTTACCAGAGCAGGAAACTTAATTTCCCAGTTGTTTTTATCCAGCCTCTGTTCCAGTCCTGCTTCTATCACCACAAAACTTTTCAGGCCAAACTAATGAGACTCTTTAAAAGCAGCAGTGAGACACTTTCTACTCTGTTCTCATAACGTCTTACACCACCATTAATAAAACAGCATTGCAACAATTGCTTTAACTATCTGATAAATGTTTTCTTAAATAAAAATAAAACTAGCCACCAGAGTCCAAACATAAGATAAAATGCAAGCTCCAAAGGTGTGGGAAAAAAAGTAATAAATAAGGGGGTAACTGTGACGGCATTAAAACAGCAGCTCTGGAAAAGAAAACGGGTGTTGTTTGAAAACCAGAGCAAGAGGCCCTGAATACAGCTGGGAGATATTTTTTTGGTGGGTACCATTTAATTTGTGGA